GGCGGCCTGGACCCGTCACCTGTAAGACCAGTTCGCGAAACTCATTCCGCCCGAGGGTGACCCAGGCATCCCGCAGGAGCCGCCGATTCGGGGCCGCCGCTGCCCCCAGGTGCTCCACGGCCACCGTGCAGCGAATCCTCCCGTCCAGCTCCGAGTCTTCCGCCGGTCGCATTCTGCAGGCTGAAGCCGAGAAGAGAGCAAGCAGACAAACATGACCAGGAGCGGGAGCGAGACAGACTAAAAGCCTGCGTCGGGCGCGGAACAGGCCCTCTTTAGCCCGCTGTCGACCGACCCGGGTTTTGAAAAAGGCATCCTCACGTTCAAGTCGCCTTTCTCCACCTTACTTGGGCTGGCAGGATTCAAATATTTTGCGACCGGCCGCAGCGACCAATCAGCATTTGGGGAAGCTTTAATTTTTCAGCCAATGAAAAGAGGAGAGGCGGAGTTAGAACTTCCCGGCTTCCGACGTTCTCGGTCCACAGCTGGGAGACCAAGAAAGCGACACTCTCCGCCCCTGGATACGCTCCGCCCGGAGACGGCGTCGGTTCTGGAGCGATTGAAACAGCGATCCAAGTAACGCCGCATGGCTGGGTTTAAAGGGGTGGTAAAGGAGCCACTGGACCCAGTAAGTCAGAACAAGATCTTCACGGAGACGGTCCGGAAGGAGCTGCGATGCCAGCGCCTGCACACCGAGTATGCGTTAAACCCGCTCCTGAAAGGTAGGTGGGCTGGAAGAAGGCAGCGTTTGTCCAATACAGGCAAGTGTCTCGACTTACACCAACGGTTCATTGAGTGACCCTTCAAAGTTACAAGGGCACTGGAAAAGTGACTTAGGGCGGTTTTTCACACTTAACGACCGTCGCAGCATCCCCCACGGTCCCATGTTCAAAATTCAGGTGCTTGGCCAGCGGTTCGTGTTTATGACAATTGCGATGTCCTGGGGGCATGTGATCAGCTTTTGCAACCTTCTAACAAAGTCAATAGGGAAGCCAGATGCACTTAACAACCGCGATACGAGCAATACTGGTGGGACCCAGAAGAAGGGCCTTCTCCGTGGTGGCTCCGTCTCTCTGGAACATCATTCCCCCAGAGATTAGAATGGCCCCCTCACTAATATTCTTCCGAAAGGCACTGAAGACCTGGTTTTGCCAGCGGGCCTGGGGAACCAAAGAGAGGGATGGAGCCCATCAGGTGGCTAGTGTGATCTGCTGTCGTCCGGGAGGAGGGTGGAAGTTGGTTATTGATTTTTTTGTGGTTGTTTTGTTTTCCCAAATTTTGTTCTGTTGTACTTTACTAATTTATTTCTCTTTGTTAATTTTTATTGTTTTTATTTTTATTTGTTTTAAATACGGTTTTACATTGTGTAAACTCCCTCGAGTCGCCATGGGCAAATAGGCGGGAATATAAATTAAATAAATAAACTGCAGTGATTAGCTTAACAACTGTGGCAAGAGAAATGTTTCACTTAGCAACCTAAATTTTGGGCTCAGTTGCTGTAGTAACTCGACTACCTGTATTGCTTCCTTTCCTTTCCTTTTTGTAAACCTATCCTTGCCATTGAATGTAATCAATGCCTGATGTAGGCGCTACTCGCAAAGAGAATGGGATGAAACAATGATAAAGACCTGGTTGAAATCATTGATTCTCTATGCATGTTTTTGGTTCTGCAAAAGTCAGCATTTCAGACTAAATGTTACCCAAAATGTCCCCAAAGAAATCAAGGTAAGGAGAAAATATTAACTTGTCTCATTCTCTTACGGTAGTCTAAAGCGAAGTTTAAGAGTGCCTTAATTTGAAGATCAGCAATAGCTAATTTCATAATCTTGCTTTTGCCTTCCAGTTCATGCCTTAACTGGGAAACCTGCCTCTTGGCATGATAACTTAGAGGAACCTGCAGATGGTAAGGCACTGTTAACAATACGTTTTTTTTCAAACTGCAGTTTATTATGGATGGATGCCACTGATATTTTATTATGGTGGGTTGCATAGTGAGCCAGATGTTTAGACTGGTATTAGTATTACTATCCATTCAGGAAAATCACAGCTGAGGTTTTTAATTGATGTTTGCAATTTTTCCCTAAGCACCTAGAACAGGGGTGTCAAACTCATGGCCCACGGGCCGAATAGAATAGGATTTATTGTCATTGCATTCAAAATACAATGAAATTTGAAAGCTACTCCAGCACAGTGCCCCAAACACCACATCACAATCACACTACACAGTATTTAAAAATTAAAATAATTAAAGTAATAATAATTAAAAACCTGGTCTAAAACCTATTTAAAACATATATTGTTAGTTTAAAAATGCCACTTTATACATAGAACTAAATCACAAATGTACTGTTTGATTCGAGACAATTATTGCCTTGGAAAAGAAACTTTCTCAGTCTTATTAATCCTCATTTTAAGACACCTATAATGTCTCCCTGATGGTAACAATTCGAAATATAATGACCAGGATGAGAATGGTCTGTGGAGATTTTTAGTGCTCTAGAGAGGAGTCTGGTCTTTGCAATCTCTTCCAAAGAAGAAAGAGAGCAACCAAAGATTTTTTGTGCTGTGTTTATAACTCTCTGGTTATATGCGTCACATGCTGGCCCTGCCCCCGCCCAGTTTAGCAAAGGAGAAAAAAATCCCAATACCTCACATGATGCCGCCATGACATGAGCTTGACACCTCTGACCTAGAATGTCATTTTATTATTATGGTTCATAACAGTTGGACAGATGTTCAGATTGGACCTGACATATTTGTCTGCCTATCAAGCCCTTCCCAGGGACCTGGGATAGGCAGCGTGGATGTTTGGTGATGTTACAGACATCGTCATAGGATGTAAGCTGTCCCAAGTAAAGCTACCTTTTCCAATTAACTATGGTGAATTTGTCAATGCCGTTGGTGTTCAAGTGGTGATCCAGTTGCTTTGGGATTGCACCTAAGTTACCTATTACTACTGGTACTACTTTTGCTTTCTTAAAGTTCAAAAAAGCGCTTACATGTCCTGCCTTTAAAATGATGCCATCAAATTTGGCTTCAGCCCTTTTATTCACACAAGCCCATCATACGATTCCCTTTTGGGTTAACTAACACCGTGTAAAATCCTGCAAAGAAATTAGGGCATGAGGGAAGAGAAAAAAAGAGGAAATATACGGTAATTAAATCTAGTTTGCAGGATCCAATCTGGGTTGATCACTGGGACCAGAGGTTTAGTCTTCCAAGCTTTCAGCCTTGTGGCTGGAGCCCATCCTCAGGGAATTTCTCTCTCATTAGAATATGAAACAAAAGATATTCAAACAAACAAAAATCTAAAAGTACTCTAAAACAAAAAGTGTGCACTTTAGATGGGTGTAAAGGTTGCTTCTTGACCAAGATCAAGTGTAGGACTTTTTCCCCACATTTTCAAAAAAAGTATCTTCTGCTATTACATTTTGTATTCACTTCTGTATTTCTATAAATTATGCAAAGTATTATCTAAAACTAACAGCAGGGTGGAAGGTTTCCTGGAATTGCAAGGGAACCAGATGCCAAGCAAAATCTAGGGCAAAACCTAGATCAGAATGAGGAACCATGATACAAAAATATGAGCACGTTACTAGGCAGAAATTATTCATGATCTACAATCTTGCATTAAATAAAGGAAAAGGTTAAATGCATGGTTTCACATTTAAGTATTATGCTTCTGTCAATTCAGCACACACAAACAGAATGTCTGGCAGTTTTGCTTCATTAAACATACAAGATATAAATGCCTGCCAAAGCTGCCTAGCTTTTCCCCCAGAAAGAACAATCAAAGCAATTTAATAAGCTAAAATTTTGTACGTTTGGTGTTCTATTTAATGTCAGTCATCTTGTGACTGCATTTCTTGAATAGCATCATATACTGTATATTCCAAAGTAAAAAATACAACTTAATACTGGATACAGACCTGTAAGTTATGCAAACCAAAATACCATTAAATGTTCAATAGAACTATTTACATAACTCTTAAGTAATCTAGTTCCACACTTTTACTATTTCACACCCGCCCAATTGAAACTACCTAATAATTACTGTCAATGTTTTAACCCAACAGCTAAATTCCTACAGCTTTTTCATCATGCTGCACTTGAGCCACCCAAGAAATACACAGAACCACAAACTGAAAGTCAGGAAATTGGTTGGTTTTCCACACCATTGGTAAGTAGGATTTCAGGGAAAGCTAAATATTGTGGGACGAGTGCCACTCCCAAGTTTTGAAGTACTGTCATGATTAAGATGAGCCTTCCCAGGAAGAAGATACCATTTGGGAACATTAGAATCATGAGGAAAGCCTTCCAAGGGTTCAGGTAGCATCAAATGGGTTTTCAGGTGAGAGGGAGTTATACTGAAGCATCCAACACTTTGTTCCTTCTTTTATTTCAATGCTCTTATGTTATAATCATATTCTCTTTCACAGATCAGTATCAACCGGAACGATAATAGGCTGCACTTCCCAAGTCGGAGCACTGAAATCAGTAGGTACATGGCTGCTCTGTGGCGCCTGAAGGAGATGACCAAAAGCAAATAAGCACATAGTAACATCATGAGCTCTTACTGTGAAGATGTCAAACTTTCATTTAGGATTTTTGCCCTGCAAGGTTATCATCTTGTCAATGTAGTTGGTTATTTTAAGAAAAGAAGCTGTCTTGCTCTTTGAAGTTTTAGCAGTTGCAATAAACTTGTCCCAAAATTGTGTGTGTTTCGTAAGATACCTAGGCAATGAATTTCTCATCCATAACTATGCCATCTCTCCCAGTACTTATATGCATGAGTGATTAACACGCAATTCATGATACTCAAAGAGAGGAAGCAATCAACTGCCATTTTGTGAAGGAATCAATGAAGTGGCCAAACACAAGCACTACTGCCATACTTTGCAGGCTATCATTGCTTTTTCATGATAGGCAAAGAACTGAAGGACTCTGGTATCCTCCCCAAATATTCCAGTATGCATCTTTCCAAACCTAAAGAAGGAGGATCAAACCATCATCACTTTAATTCACTTAAGAATTTTCAAAGTAGTCTGAAATGAAAGGCAACAAAAAGCATCTGTTTGCTATTTGTGTGTGAATCAAACAAAAACATTTGCCATTCTACAGCACACCCATAACCAGGAAAGTTCAAGTCCCATATCCGTTCATGGTTATATGCCAATATTGTGTGCAGAGCTGGGCTCAAAATGTCATTCCATTTCCAATCTTTATCACGAACGGCTCTTAATTTTCTGCCTCATCTTTTTGCCAGGCCTCTTCTGAAAAGAGAGGGGAAAAATATAGAATTCACTAGTCATATCAGCATAGTCACATATGCTCCTCTAATGATCTAATTGTAGCATGTAATAACTCAACTGTAACTTACTTTGGCACCCCTTTTCCCTGCTTTGCCACTTCCCTTGTTGTGGGCTTTGCTAGCACGGAAGCTGGACACATCATTGTAGCTTTCCTTGGTGTTCCATTTGGACCCTTTCTTTCTGCCACCAAAGCCAAATTTCTGATTCTTGTAGCGTCTTTTTGCACTTGGTCTGAAAGAAAAGACTATGTCAGTCACGATTAGGTATTCCTACAAATTTAAAAAAAATACAGATACTTTGGCCCATACATGTTCTGTTTCTTCAAAATAGCCAAATATTACACTTTTTGTCAGACTCTGTTTCAATAAACATTCCTCTTAATTTTGGGAATGCAAGTCTTAAAATGTTCATATTTATGATAGAAGTCCTTTTAGCTGATTTTACACATAATGCTCACTCCTTTGTTTCATTCAGTTACTGAGTCTTCTAAAAGTCACTTGAGTGTGTGACAGTCCCCCAAATAAAGAAATTGCGCCACAGAAATTCTAACATTTCTTGGTGGATCAACTTTTGATCTTGGTTGTGTGGACAGCCATTTATCTGAAATGGTATAGGCCAGAGGTAACTTTAAGACAGCACGGTTGGCTGGGGAAGTCTGGGAGTTGAAGTCCACAAGTCTTATAATTGCCAAGGTTGAAGACCCCTGGTATAGACTCTCCTGCTCGTGCAGGGAGTTGGACTAGATGACCTACAAGATCCCTTCCAACTCTTCAATTTTATTCTATTCCATTCTATTACAAAAGACTCATATTCAGAACAAAGATGCACTTTAGTCTCACCCTTTCTTTATTGGCTGCCTCTCTGTTCCTTCCTTCTTCTGAGGCTCGGATGATTTGTCACCTTCCAGGAATTCCAGCTTGTCCAAGAGACCTTACATGAAATAAGGAGGCTTACATGAAATGAGAGGCTACAGCCTTCTGGCACTCTTAAACTTTGATTCCCAATGTTCTGGAATATTTTATGCATATCGAACCAAATTTAAAGAAAGTCATTCTGTCGTTATCTTAACATAAAGAAGCATTTACTTTTTAGAAAGTCCCAAATACATCCAATCCCTGACTACCAAATGACAACATCAGGCTTGTTGAATCTACGGTGGTCTTACTGGATTCCTAAATCTATCAACCAGAAAATGGATAAGACAGTATTTTGAGGTGAGCATCTCTGAATCTGGTAGTTTGCTTTCAGTTCATAAGCCAATTATTCACAAAATAGCCACTCTTCTGTCCTCAAATTTTCTTTTATTTCAGCTGTCTTTATGAAAAGGTCAGCTGACATGCAGTTATTAAACAAGCCTTACAGAGCCACTGAAATCTGTCAGTGGTTACGATCCACATTCTACTCTTTTTTGTAGTGAATCAATACAATGAAGAAAAGTAGGCAAAAAGAGAAAGTCTGTAGAAAATCGTCAAAGAAAAACTATGAACAAGAGACCACGGGGGATCCCTTATTGGCTAACAGGTGCTGATTGTCCAGTTGCAAATATGAAACTGTTACAGAAAGGCGTATGTTACCAATATATTGTTGGTTCGATGAGTCAGCCACAGCAGACTATTTACTGGCACAACAAGCCTTTATTAGGCAGCTGATGCTGAGACTCATGTTTTCTTGTTATCACAGCTTCTTACTCCTTTTCTAAAATTGAGAGGTGGGAAGGAAGTGACTCACCCTTCTGATATTTTTTGACTGCATTTAACATTGTGGACTTCTCCTTCTGTCTCTTCTGCAACACGTCAATTTGAACCTATCAACAAGAAATCAAACATGAGCCTTGCTCTCATTTGTACCTGAACTTTTCCAAAATGTTCCAATTTTATGGATTTTCAGGTACATATGGTCCTCATACTGTCTGTGAGGAATCCTATCAGTTGACTGAAAATCTTCCAAGCAAAACAGTTTGAATGAATTGAAATGATTTTTGTCATTCAATTGCAAGGGCACTCCTTACCTGCTTGCCATATTTTCTTAGGGCCCGGAGTTGCTTGGCCTTTTCAGACTTTTCCATGGCTTCTTTTTTGCTCTTCAGCTTTTCACGAATCTAATGCAAAAGAATATGGGGTTGTTGTTGTTTTTTTAGCAAATGGAAGAATACTCCTACTGTTTATACATGACAAAAACCTTTTCAGGTTTTTGTAACAATACTACAGCATTTTAAATATGTCATTAAATTTTATCATCTCTTTACATCTTCAGAGCCTATTCTGACAAGGTTCCCCCAGCATTAGGCAAGATAGCCATGTCAAAATACATATCCAACCATAACACATAATAGTCAAAGCAAAAGCTATTTCAGGCACACAAATACACATTCAATGCCCAAATGTATTGTAAATTTAGATAGCAACTTTCACTAACTTAAGGACCACTCTGGACTTACACTGCATATTATTCCAAAAGTGAGTGGAGCCAGGCCCCAAAGTAGGAGGTGGAGAAGATATAACTTAATTTTAATCTTTTTTTTTAAAAAAAATGATAATAAAATAAAAACTGCAGCCTTTTTCTTTATAAGGATCATTCTAGGATTGAATCCCCTTTTTTGGAGTAGAAATCTCCCCTAAAAACACTTTAGTATTTGCTGCCTTGAATTACTTATAAAATAGTAACAGTGAGATAAGTGTCTATAAATAAAAACTAAATGGATGTTTCAAAGGGGGAGGGGGTAAACTCCCCACAGGGAAAAAAAAATCAGCCTGAATTATAAGGGGGAGATGAAGAAATGAGATAGGTTTCATTTATTAAAATTTATAACGCACCAAAGTTTCCAAGACTTCAGGAAGCTCAGATAAAAGTTGATAAAAATATAAAAGCATGAACACAAACATTATTAAATATTATACATTATGTTTTAAAATTAATAATCTAAGATATTGTGAAAACTAAACATTATTTTTATATACCTGTTTCCTGTTTTTTCCAGTAGATGTTCACTTGTTTCATTTTATATATTCACTGGCATAAATAATACTAACTATAAAATTCTACATTTCCATATGAAACTATTCTGTGTGTGGGTGTGTATACACATATATACACATACATACATATGTACATATACATACAGACACATACAATTGAAAGATAAGTAGAAGATTAAAAGCTATGGAATCAATAAAAGACCAAAAGGCACAAGATTAATTTTAATATTGATACTAAGGAGGATTCAGCATTAAATGGTAACTATATGATATAATTCCATAGAAGTAATAAAAACTAATAATTTATTCTGTATGTTCTAAAAAGGAATTTAGAGAAGTAGAAATACAACTGCAATAGTAAATTCCTATTAATATTCTGTGCTAAAAGAACAAACAGCATATCTCAAAATAACTAAAGAACAATACAGGTCTATGTCCTATTGGTCCCAAATCTTTCACTAATAATGAAGGAAGGAAGAGCACTGCAGGATAGCAATAGGTATCCTGTACGTATTAATAGGCCCTTCTATATTGCAGGATTTTTAATAGGCCCTTCTATATTGCAGAACTTTTAGTTGCATAGGTTATGCTACAGTATGTAACATTGACTATTAGTTATATGAAGATTAGGAGGCTTAATGTTACTCTTGTCAATTACGTAAACATACCACATTATCCCCATTTCTACAGTCCTGTGCAAGCTTTGAAACCAGTATCTTCAAATTCTAGAACAGATGTGACACAAGTTTCTCTCCAACAGAACACTCATTAATAATGACAGCTAGAAGAGGTGTGAAATTGAAGACCTATAAATCTTACTTTTTGCATCTGCTGATCAGATTTTGCCATCTCTGCAAAATAGTCATCGGGCCGCCTTGTGGGGATTTTAAACTGATGTAACCGAGGTAATGCTTCCAGAACAGAGGCTTGGGCTTGATGATAACTGAGGAAATCAGAATCAACATTACTATTTCTAATCAGCGGCTAAATATTCCAAAAATTTCAGGATTTGTGATCTATTAAACATATGCTTCACTGAAATAAAAAAATATCTAGTCTAGCTACCCTTTCAAGCTGAGATCATTACTGCTATGGAGGCACTCAAGAGATAAGCTTTTTAATATGCACTGTCAAATAACTGCAACTATACAAATAGTGTCAATATGCTAATAAGTTGTTACATATATGCAGTGGGAAGTAAAATAACTGATTATTAATATCATAGCAACATATAGCTTATAGTATGGTGGACCAGTTAACACACATTATTAAGCTATATTACTTTTGTTTCTTACATAAGAATCCATTCATTATGGATTAGTACCCTATGTAGACCTGTCTTAGTACTTCATGTGAACTCAAACTGTATCATCTATTGTGCAGGAGAATAAAACAAAGACTGCATATAAGACTCACAGCATAAGAAAATCTTTTGCCTCATATACTAAGACTTACAAGTTCATTTCTCTTTTAAAGTCATCTTCAGGATCAACAGAATCTTTTTCAACTGTGTTCTTGGAAGCTGCACGGGTGACATTTGTTTCCAGTGGACAGGTAATATCAAGCCTTTCGACCCAGGAGAGATTTCTTTGGAATTCAGACAAGCACCGTTTCAATCCATCCTAGGAAGATCATATTAATTCTACATAACCTCAATGCTTAGATGTTTCTCCATATCAGTTAACTACTGCACAGAATGGTTGCAGATGATATTCATTTTAAAGCAAGCAACAAGATTTTGCACTAACACACCAATTTCTCTCAAAAAGCCAGATTCCAGCTACATGCCCATCAAACAAAATGTGCAATATTTAAAAATTCTTAAAAAATCCAATGAATGTCAGGTATTCTGGGTTTAAGATCTTCCTAACAAAGATCTACATAGAAAACGTAATCCTTTGTTACACTGGCAACATAAACAAAAGTTGCTCGATAAGTCTCTCCTCACATTACATTCGTATTACACGTTCATATTACGTTCATACCACGGTATAGTACATTCGTAATATACTAAACTGAAAACACTGTACCTTTATAAATGGAGTGTTTACTTGCCAATATTTCTAACCTTTTTATCCCCAAAATCAAGGAACTAAAGCTTGTAAGCAATTAACAATGTCTAATCTAAAAGGTTGGACCCATCAAGCTGTCAGATAAATGGACCAAACCCTTGAATGCTTGGTGTTGAATTTAGAATTCCAATTTGGTGTACTACAAGGCTGATGTTTAAAAATGTGAGGTAAATGTTGAGTTGTTCACAAACAACCAAAAAAGTTCAAGCAACGGATATCACAGTACTTACCACATTATTAAAGGCTTTTGGTCGTCCCTCCAACACAATATTTAAGCCTGGTTTCAATGAACCTTTAGCAAATGCTTCTTGAAGCTACATTGAAAAAAGGTATTTATGTTAACACATTAACATAATTATATTAATTACATTATATAATTAAATTATATTATAATTTATAACTTATGTTATAATTAAATTAATATATACAAGTATAAAACTGATTCCATTAATAGAAGTGACCATGTGACATCAAAGCACATAAATGAGCATCCAATGGAAAAGAATAATCTGGTCAGTGAGTTCTAAGCTTCAGCATTTATCCTGATGCCACATGACCACTTCTGGTTTAGATTAGATACTATTTTATGTATTGCACTGTGCAATTCTTAAGTGTGGCACAGTAACTAATATTATCATTAATCCAGTTAGTATGAAACCTATATTCACTATACTTTCAGGCATAGCCCTTTAGCCTGTTTGGGATAACAGACTGTTTTAATTATTACTAAGATAATATAGCCTCATCAAGTGACAACAATTGGCCAACCTTGTGTGGCCTCAGCCCCTAAAAAAGGGTAAGATTACAGGGAGACAATCAAGGAATTCTATGGTTGCAGGTACATTCCTGCAGAAAGACAATGGCAAACCACTTCTATACCCATGCATGGTTGAGTTTATGTAGTCATCATAGGTTAAGTTCTAATCAAGAATATCATTACCTTAATACAATACAGCAAGTCACGATAATACAAAAATGGAAACGTGCATAGTTACACCCTAACACAATTACCACAGACATTGGTATGCACAGTACTTGCATACCAAAGTCTAATTGCCAGCTATCTCCCTTACAGATGTCCCAAAGATGCTTTTTTCAGGAGGCAACTGAACTTTCTTGTTTTTTCTTTTGAAGACATTTCATTTCTCATCCAAGAAGCTTCTTCAGCTCTGACTGGATAGTGGGGAATGGAATGATTTATATTCCTTGCAGACAGCTGGTCATTTGCATCCTTTCAGAGGGACTTCGAAGCACTTGGAGGTTTATATTGGACACAGATAAACCTCCAAGTGCTTCAACCATCTAAAAGGATGCAAATTATCTTGGAGGTTTTCTAGTCCAACTCCCTGCTCAGGCAGGAAATCCAAACCATTTCAGGCAAATGGTTATCCAATCTCTTCTTAAAAACCTCCAAAGCACTGCTCCCAAACAGCAGTCTCCATATCAGCCTATGCATTTATCAATTCACACAAGATCATTTAAAATTCAGCTTAAATGTTAGTTTCATTCCTTTAGTTTATACACTACTAGAATATCGGGGTATTTCTCAGGTGCCAAACATACCTCTTGATCTGCTATAACAGATTCTTCAGAATCAGAGGATAATGACAATTCTTGCTCCATAGCTATGGGCGGCATCTTATACTGCTTTTTGAGATGTTTGGATTTTGCCTCCAATCTATATCAAAACCAAGAAAATAATCAGACAACATACTGCAAATTCAAGGCCATGGAACAAATTCAAAATTGGACTGCTAACTTCATCCTTCCCTCAGCAAGGCACATACAATGTTAATTGATGAGGTTTTTCCATCCCATACTTAAGCTCTACTAAATTAGGAGCTATTATGCATCAACTTTTAACATAACTGTATACATGAAATACAACATGAATGTCAATGTCAATTTAACCTGTAAAGTCTTTGTCAAATACAATTCTGTACATGGCCTATTACATTTGACGCCTGGACTCTTTTAAAATAAAGATTCTACACTCTTTAACTATGATTATGCTTTATCAAACAGATCTCTCAGCTCATCTAAAACCCAATTTAATAGTTAAAAATAAGTTTTAAAAGGTACTAAAGTGTTTAACTATCGTAACTTTGCTTTATATTTGTTTTAATCCAAGCCTCTATATACGGAACTTTATCTTAAATGCGAAGATATTCCATGTAATATCGGTATTTTGTAATTTCCATATTTTTTTTGCTTTTAAAATAAACAAAATATAAAACATAAGCTACAGCCTATTGAATGTCCAATTACCCCCCCCCCCCTCCAATTATTAATTTTGCATTAAACCGAATCTAAAATTCCTTCCAGATTTCCATTCTTCGGAATCCACTCCATCTGCTTTTTAAAAAATCGATAAGGTCCCCATTTTAAATTAGCTATGATCGATGCTTTTATGTCTGTGAGCTTTAGATGTCTCTGTTTAAATTTCTAAAGGCGTCCTACTCACTTTGATCAACCGGTCCCCGGTTAATTCAACTTAGCCCGAAAACCTTTTCAGCCATCGGCTCCTCGTTCACCACGAGGAATTGTTTAAAAAAAAAAAAAAAGGCACTTCCGCTTTCCGTGGTCGTTCCATCTATTTCCGGTTCCGCTCCGCCAAATTGTCAGCCTTGTCCTGGGGACGCTGTCGCCATGGAAACCCCTTCTCTTCCGTCGTACTTTGCCTTACGGGAGCATCTTCTTGGTAGCAGTTGGTAGCAATTTTTGAAAACGGATCGGAGCGAGCAACGAACCGAAAGAGCGAGACCGCCGAAAGTAGCCGAAGAGCCCGGTCCCAGGGAAGCTGCCCGTGAAGGGAGCCACTCGGCTCTTCCTAATAAATCCTCTCCCGTTTGTCTCTCTTCTTTCTAGCCCGGCTGTCTGAATTCAGTCGCGATGTCAGTGATTGTGGCTCAGGCTCTCCACATCTTTGGGTTCCAGTCCCGAGTAGCAAATAATATTTGTTTTTTTGATGAGCAGATAATAGTCTACCCCGCGGGAAATAGCTGTGTGAAATACCACATAGAACAGAAATGGCAGAAGTTCATCCCAGGTAAATTAGCCTACCTCCCCCTTCCCCCCACCTCTATCATTTCTAATTCCGATACAAGAAGGGGAAACCCAAAGGTGCTTTTTCAAGAGGCAACTGGACTTTCTGTTTTTTCTTTGAAAAGTTCTCATCCAAGAAGCTTCTTCAGCTCTGAAGGGGAAAGTTGAGATCCTCTCTGGTCTACACCCTCGAAACTGTTTCCTTTGACTATAATACTCTTACAAATAGATAATAGTTCTTATATATTCTTTGTTGTTCTCTCTTCACTTGCAGGATTTAAATACAGGTAGTCCTCAATTTACAACAGTCCGTTTAGTGACTGCTCAAAATTACAGTGGCACTGAACAATGTGACTAATGACCGTTTTTCACAGTCACGACCTTTGCAGCATCCCCAAAATTCAGATGAACCAGGCAACTGGTTCATATTTATGACCATTACTGCATCCCAAAGTCATGTGATCACTTTTTGATAACTTCTTACAAAGAAAGTCAATGGGGAAGCCAGATTCACTTAGCAACCGGCTTACTCACTTATCAGTTGCAGTGATTCACTTAATCACTGTGGCAGGAAAGGTCATAAAATGGGACAAAACTCACTTAACAAATGTCTCACTTAACATAAACTTTGGGCTCAGTTGTGGTCGTAAGTCGAAGACTACCTATACGTACAAGATCATACCCTTTAAAAAATTTTAAATTATGTATAGTGAGAAGTGCAATGTTAGTTGGTCTGAGAGAAAGTGATTGGCCTAAAGTCACCCAGTGAGTTTTTATGGAAGAGAATAGATTACAATCTGGGTCTCCAACCTTATAATTCAACACATTAACCATACTGGCTCTCATAAGTAGCATATTGAGATAACATTTTGGGGGGAAGACAGCTATTTTACATTATGCATTCTTTCCAAATGTGAGGTACAAAGTTTGTTTTCGCTACTCTGCTCTTTTATCATCAGTGCTGACAAACAAAATGCAATAGTTTCTTTGTCTTTTACAATATACTTTCCAGGTTAAATAAAAATATAGGCAATATGAGCTTCCAATTTACTTTTTAATATTTACTAAGCTTTGGCTTTTCTTTAATGTTCTCAGGATTGGATGCTTTTCCTTCTGTTTATCTTCTGTTTACTGTCACAGATGAATAATTGTTTATTGGAAATATTTACATTCTTAAAACTTAGGTTTAAATTAGCATAGTTCAATACTGTAAATACAGTTGTTAGATCTGTGTATAATATGATGGTTTAAAACCTGTATGAATTCAGTTTTCTTTTAAATATGTCAAGGACAGGAGAAATTGTTTGAGACTAACTAATTCAATTCACTTGAGTCATGTGAATTGCAAGGCAGTAGAGTTAAATCTAAATGAGGCAGTGACTTTCATGATCACAGTTAAATATGCCAATGATGACCAAGTAAATCAAGAACTCTGTCAACAATATTATCCTTATTATAGAACTAATATCATTGTGATGAATATTATTGTAAACATTTTGATTAGGATTTCCTAAGAGTAATTGTACCCACACAAAACATTGTTTCATTAAAATTGAATTTTTACATGTTATATAAATAATAAATAAAACAAATAAAAATTTTGGAGGAAAAAAAAGGAATTCTGTTGACAGTTTCCTCTCTCTATTATAATGCAGAACTAGCACTTAAGCATTTTATGTATTTCTCATAAATTACTTAATTGCATTATTACTTGGAGATATATTAAAGTGTTTATCAGAAAATCAGGTGATTTATGTGGATAACTATAATATTGTAATTTGGTGCCATTTTTTCCTAATCTAAATTTAACATTATGATGTTAAGCTTACAGGAATTTTGTATTTTTGTGTGTGTACTATGTAGGCTCAGAAAAAAGCCAAGGGATGCTTGCACTAGCAATAAGTCCCAATCGACGCTATCTGGCCATTTCAGAGACACTTCAAGATAAACCAGCTATCACAATTTATGAACTATCATCTGTTCCATGCAAGAAGCGGAAGATTCTGAATACTTTTGATTTTCCTGTGCAGGAATTTATCAGCCTGGCTTTTTCTCCTGATTCCAAATATTTAGTGGCACAGGCAGGACCTCCTGAATCACAGCTTGCCTATTGGATGTGGGAAAAACAAAGAACAATGGCAATTATTAGGGCTGATGTTCAGAATAATCCTCTTTATCAAGTAAGTTGAAGATAAGTAATATCTTGGGAACAATTAAGTGTCAGTAATTAAGCTGGATACAATATTAAAAAAATGTATTACTGTACAGATAGTTTCAATGTGCAATTCAATTATCTCTATTCTGTATTTGTCTTGCGACATTGTTATAAATAAATTAATTTGATGTTAATGACATTACTATTTTAAAAAGGAACAATTACCAAGGCAAAGGTGGGTTGAACTATTTTTGGGTCCAGAACCATGAGTTAACATCCAGAAATGATTCAGTTAAGATACCAGTACTTTCCTAATTCAGTGGAGAATAAGAAGGAGGAAGGGGCACTGAATAATTACATCTGCAAGATTTTGTTAACTTAGTCAATCCCAATTAAAATAAGTTTAGTCTTCCTGTGGATTTCTTGGTCTGGGCTGCAGAGTAAGGTTAACATATGCATATATATGCACTAAATATAATAGAATTGTGTTGCCCTTGATTTTAATGAATTAAATCAATTAGTTGAATTGCACATACAATAATTATCAAATGATCTTGCATGTATATTTCTTTTCAGGTGAGCTTCAATCCTCAGGATAATACTCAAGTCTGTGTCATAGGAAATGGTATTTTCAAGCTATACAAATATACAGAAGGATCCTTAAAGCAGACTAATTTCTTACGGGGAGAGCCCCAAAACTACTTGTCCCATGCCTGGCTGTCTGAAGAGAAAGTGATTGTGGGTACTGATACAGGCAAACTCTATTTATTTGATTCTGGTGATTTACGGTGGGAGACAAGTATTGAGCGGAAAGAACAAACCACTGAAATGTTGAATGAAGAACCAGTTCTAGAATCAGAAAGGTGAGTTTTCTGCAAATTGTTTAATCAAAGATAAAAACATAAGCATGCTTCAACACTTGGACTAAGTTTCCAGTTTCTGATTAAATGTTTGCTTCTAGGAAATGTTCTATTTTAAATGTACTAAATTCCAATCTTGGGTTTGTAAAATATGTTTATTCAGAAAATAAGCCATTACTTAAAATCTTAGAAATGTATACAACATAGCAACTTTAAAATCACATATTGGGAAGACAACTATCTTAAAATAAAGGGGAGCACAATATTTTTTTTTACACACTGCACAACACATATTTGAAATGCTTAACAATTCCGGCTCTTTGTCTCATTTACTTTTCAAGCCTCATTGAATTTCCTTTTACAAATTCCCCCGAGTACTCTACTGAGGCAGTTTCTGAAGCTGAAGGGCAGCAGCAAGCTTCTCTGCCCCGAGTTTCTGCTATTGCTGCATATTCCAAGGGATTTGCTTGCTCTGCTGGTCCGGGTATTGTTTTACTGTTTGAGAAGTCAGATGAGAAGGATGGTTACCGAGAAAGTCGAGAGATTCGGGTACGTAAAACTTGTGAAGGGTACAAGCCTTCATTTTGTTACTGTGAAATACTATTTCCCAGACCAGAGTGTAACAGCTAATAAGACTGATGCTTGGAAAGAAAAGAGTGAGAGGGATGCTGCCAAGCCAAACAAAAGATATACTATAGGGTTGATCGTGACAAAGTTGTTATATAATTGTCTATGAAGATTCTCAGTTATTCAGGTAATGGTTGTCCCAAAGGTGCTTTTTCAAGACGCAATTGGACTTTTCGGTTTTTCTTTGAAGATGTTTTGCTTCTCATTCAAGAAGCTTCTTCAACTCTGAGCTTCTTGGATGAGAAGCGAAATGTCTTCAAATAAAACCCAGAAAATCCAGTTGCCTCTTGAAAAAGCACCTTTGTTATGTAATCCTCTCACCTAGTTCGGGTCCAACATATATGGTTTATCATAGGACCACAATCAGAGAAAACTGTTCTGCTTGTTTGTAGCACAAATGAATTGTGCACTGTGATTATTGGTCATCCCATAGGAATCAATATTTAAGTTTTAAATATGGTGGTGCAGTAGTCAGAATACAGTACTGCAAGCAAACTCTGCCTACTGTCTAGAGTTCAATCCTGACAGGGTTCAAGCTTGACATTGCTTCCATCCTTCTGAGGTCAGTAAATGAGGACCCAGATTGTTGGAGACTGACATAGTAAACTGCCTAGAGAATGCTGAAAGGCACTGTGGGATAGTATATAAATCTAAGTGCTATTGCTATTTATGATGTGTTTTTAATTACTATTTTTCTACATAATTGCTGGCATATATTTAAGGAAACAAAGTCTAACATGGTT